ATGTGCTAGCATGTGTGAGTTATGTGTTGTCATGTGCATCTCGGCTGAAAATATTTTGGGCTATGTCCGAAAATTAGGCCTAAAATGAGTCGTTTGAACCCAAATATTATTCTTTCCTGGCAACCGAGAATAAAAACACGACCTTATTTAATTAATCCTACGTAAGCAGAATAATTATTAAAACAAACTAACAATTAAAACAAAAATATATATATATTTTTTGTATTTTTAAATTTATATAAAATAAAAATAAAGTACTATTTTTGTATTTTTTTCAAAATTTATGAGAAATAAATAAACTAAAATTTATATATCTTTTTTTTGTAATTTTTATTTTTGTGACGAAAATAAAGTAAAAAGAGTCAAAATAAGCTGAAATAACTACATTAAGGCTAAATTAAATATTTACGTGCTAAAAATGTGAAAGATTTGGGGAGGGACAAAAATCACATGTCAACACATAGAACTATCACATCTATAAAAGAATTAAAGTTTTCACTTTCAATGATATCCTAATTCCTAGCAGATCTTTTGACATTGGAGTGTAATTAAATTCTTTAATTGAAGGCACTAATAATGTATTGAGAGTCTTGTAAGGTGGAATATATATATTTTGTAAACAAAATTTGTGTAGGTAAGGTAATTTATTAAACATGAACATTTAGGGTAATAAAGTTTCCAATAATATATAGGCATAAACCTCTCGAATTTCTGTATCATGATGGCGACTCTATATCATAAAGACATAAACCTCTCGAATTTCTAAGTCGTAGCGTTTAAGTGCCTTTTTATGTTTCTTTGTTCATATTTTGAAAAATAAAAAATAGGCAAAATACATAAGTTAGCACCTTAACTATGAACTAAATCCCTGTTACACATTTTTTGTGGACGAAAATAACTTTACACACTCAACCTTTCCAGAGTGTGTCTAATATACACTACTTTTATATTTAAGCATTTCAAAAAAAGTGAGGTCTGTCACGCACCAATAATATAGTACTACGTGGCATTAATTTTGAAATAAAATAAATTAATGAAATTACAAATATACCCCTAAACTATTCTCCCTTCCATCCCTTTCTCTTCTGCACCGAATCTCCATTGACGCCAACACCATAAAAAATCCACAACTATCACCTTTCGATTATAAAGCAAAATTAGGACTCAAGTACATTAATCACGAGTTTGTGAGTCCAGATTCAAATCTAACACAAGAAATAGGATGCAAAACTCAAAACTTCATTAAAGTTGGTTATGGTCAAATCCATGGTTGCTCGATTCATGGTCATCTTCTCCGATAAAATAAAAGACTAAGTGTTTTGACAGTTGATTATGGCCAGAATCTGTGGCATTATTTAGTGCAAATAAGTAACCAAAGTGATGAAAGCGCAAGCAATGGCATGTAAATAACAAATAGAATCAATTAATTCTCGGCATCTTTTGGCTCATCTCTAATATCCCTCAACACCAAATTAATATTTTACCACATTAAATTTGTGTTCTTAATTTGTTACTACTTAATTATGATTCAAACCCAGATCTATAAAATTCTCTTAGATATAGATTTCTTTTAACTTTCTTTATCAATTTCTTCCAAAGCCCTTTTATATTATTGTTATTCTTAAAATGGTGGACAGAGAAGATGGTGGAAAAGAGGTGGGGAAGAAGATGAAAATGGGAAAGGAGGAAGGTCAGCAACATATTGATAGGGGCGGGGTTATGGGGAAGAAGAACAGGGAGGGGTGAGTTAAAGTGAAAGGAAACAAAATAATTTTAAAAAGCAAAAATTTAAAATTTTGACACGTGTCCTTTAAGTAAGAATTGGGATAAAAATTTCTACAGTTTAACGCGCTTATAATTTTTGTTAAACACGCGCGTGTCACGTAGCAAAAGTAGTGTGTATTCTGAAAAGGTTGAGTGTGTAAAGTTATTTTCGTCCACAAAAAATATATAATAGGGATTTGGTTCATAGTTAAGGTACTAATTTATAAATTTTGCCTAAAAAATAATACTCTTACACCAAAAAGAAAAAAGAATTACAAAAATGTGAATGAGCATAATGGAATTAACAAAAGTGGAACACCTGGAGAAAGAAGAAGCAGAGCACCAAAAAAAGAAGCAAATAGGCCAAAGTTACTCCCAAGACAATTGACACTTCGATAGCACAACCCTGCTCCATTGTAAAAATAGCACGGTATAGCCAGTTTTTGAACTGGTCATTCAAAAATAACCAGTGTTTATGAAGTCAATAAAAAATAGCCACTATTTTGCTGCAATAGAGACCGGTCCAGCATAATATACTAGAGTTCGGTGTACCTGTGTATAAACTCCAGCATATTATGCTGGAGCGGTATACTTTGCTGACTCCAGTATAATATACTGGAGACTGGAGCACCGGTGCTCCAAACTCCAGTATATTATACTGGACAATTATACTTGCTGGAACTCCAGTATATTATGCTGGAGTTCTAGTGTACTTATGCTGGAACTCCATCATATTATGCTGGAGTTCCAGCATACTTATCTTGGAACTCCAGTATAATATGCTGGAGTTCAAGCATACTTATGCTGGAACTCGAGTATAATATACTGGCGTATTTTCGGGGTTTTGAACAGTGTTTTCGCTCAGATTTATCTTTACATGAAAAGTGGCTAAATTTCGATTACTTTTGAAACTGGGTTATTTTTGAACGACCAGTTGTAAATCTAGCTATTTTTAAATTTCTCCCTGCTCAATTTGGGCGAGGGATTTTTACAGAAATAGCCAATTGAATTTACGGTTTACTTTTTGTAGCTAATATTATACACATATTATACAAAAACTATACATGTAGTATATATCCACCAGCTATTTTAAGTCCAAGTGCTTGGGTAGGCAGCTATTTAAGTTAATTCTTGTTTGGGTACTCCCAAAAACCATTACATCATTTTCATTTCGCGAAAACTACACAATATAACCGCTCCCAAAAATTATAGCCGACAAAAATATATATATTTTGCGTATGTTAATAAGTATTATGGATATATATACATTTTATATTTTTTTTTGTATGTTAGTATTTTTAACCGACCGACCAAATATGTAACTCGCCTTAACATTTCGTCCCAAGAAAATATGCAAAACATCCAAAATGGTAAAAAAAAAAAAAAGGAAATTTGTGCTTGTCCTGAAATTTTCGGTAAATTTTGATTTTGGTCTCTATAGTATTTGTTCAAGCATATTTAACCTTCATTTATTTGAAATATGTACTTTTGATCCTTCTACTTGTCAAACGTCACAAATTAAACGAATTAAAATTGTTAAATCATTTAATTATTCCTGTGTTATGTTAAATTAGTGTTGTTACTCCAAATTTGAGGACTAATATAGTCATAAAAATAATATAAATATAACATATGTAAAGAGACAAAAAAAAATAGAATTTAATTAATTCAAGGTAAATATGCTTATAGAAGTATCACAACAACAACAACAGCAACAATATACTCAGTATTATCCCACACCGTGGGGTTTGGGGCTAATAGAAGTATCATAAGGACCAAATTAATATGTACTCTCAACCGAGGGATCAAAAGTGCAATTATCTATGAAAATGTCTGCTTTCATAAATGGTTTTCATACTTAATCTTCATTGGAGGAATTTAGTCCAAAAATGCAAAGTATTGTAGCAAAAAATATCACAGCAACAAAAAAGAAAATCTAGAGAGTATGATGCACACATCAACATTGTCTAATTACAAAGAATTCTAGTTTCTATGCTTCCTCACTAGAGTTTCCTATATTAGTAATAGGACCTTTAAACCAATGTCTAGCACTGAAGATCCATGAAGAAACAACAAGAATGAGAAGGCCACCGACCGCGACAGGAGTATAGTTGAGAGTTTGATCTGTAATAGGATAGGCAACGGGCAAAGAGAAGAGTACAGAAATGAGCGCGACCCAAAATATTGCAACCCAACCTACAACGAGCCCGTAGTTTCCCAGGTTAAAAGGACCTGGAGTGAAAGACTTTCGAGCTAGAGTCACTCGAAATAGGATTGGCAAGGCATAAGCAATATAGAGCCCGATTGTTGCTATTGATGTCATCGCTTGAAATGCTACCAAGCTTCCAAGAGACTATAATTCAAAGAGACCAAAAAAAAAATATTAGTAACTGGAAGGGCGCGAAACAAACTTACTTATGAATCAAGAAAGCATATTGAAGGGGAGCCTTGGAGCAACAATGAACGATAGGTCATGGGTTCGAGCCGTGAAAACAGCCACTAATGTTTACATTAGGATAGGCTGTCTACATCACACCCTTGGGGTGCGGCTTTTTCCGGACTCTGTGTGAATGCAGGATGCTTTGTGCACCGGGCTGCCTATGTATGTAAAGCATATTAAGTAATAGTAATGTTAATTCTTATATGAATTGTTTGTTCTTGTTTAACTCGGTTATCTTTTTGAAGGGTTCTGTGTGGTTTTTCAAGATGCAAAAAAATATGAAAAATTTGTACCGTCAATGCCATGCAAAATGCTATGAAGGCCGACATCCAGACTGCATTGAGCGGAACCTCCTGCTTGTTTACTTTATGCCAGAACGACGAATATGGCATCGCTCCATCTCTGGAGAATGCATAAGCCATCCTGCAAAAAAATCATCAGTGGCTTTTCTACAGAATCTGAGCTAAACAAGGAGAATCTCTGATCGAGTATATTTACCTTGAGTTGCTAGTTAGTGAGCTCATGCCACAAAAGAATACGGCAACAGCAATTATACCTAAGCAAACGATTCCACCAGTACCACTACCGTATCTACTCTTGAACGCATCATAAAAGATTTGCGCAATAGCATAACCGCCAGAATCATTGTTTTTATTCAACAGATGCGGGATATCTGTAACTGCAAAGGTTATACCAAGTATGTAAGCCCAGCCAGCAAGAACTGATATGCCAATAGCACTTACAATTCCTTTTGGCCCATTCTTATCTGCATTTTTCGTTTCTTCTGTCTGCAAAACAAAGTCAATAGAGAAGAACAAAATTTAAAATCTACTCGCAATCACTTCGAACAAATAGTTCCTAAGAAGGAAAAATAAGCAGAACCCACCATATGGGCAGAAGCGTCATAACCTGTCAACGTATACTGGCTCATGAGAAGTCCGAGGACGAAGATGTAGAGGTTATTGTTAATTCCATCTCCATTGTCAGTATTGAAATTAGTAAACACAAATTTAGCACTGGCTCTTTCTGTGGCGACCATTGGGATCAAAATCATAAGAAGAAAGACACCTGTAATAATCATTTATGCAGAGCTGAGAGAACACACAATTCCGTATTAAGAGGTTGAATAGAGAAAAGAAGGTCTACTTTAATGTACCTAAAACATTCCATGCAGCGGCTAGTTGTCCAAAGAAGGACAACCATGAGATAGGAAGACTGTTTAATATAGCATGTAAAAGCAGAATTCCGCCGTGGAGTGCGATAACAACGTATTTAGAGCCTTGGTATCCACCTCCATTTAATCCACCGGTGCTAAGGAGAATTATCACCTGAACTAACTGTGCCAGTGAAAAGTCTACACTTGCTGTGACAGCCCACTGCAATCAGATTTTCCGTTGTTGATTAGAGTTGTTTTATATGGTGAAGCAGCTAAATCCAGTTAGACACTCAAAATTGTGAATAGTGTATTAGTAATTCTTCATGATACCTGACCAACAATGTTAAACCTGCAACATGAAAATGAAAGGAATTTTACTGAGAAGGGGGCAATATGAACATAGAAGCCATCATTTTTATCAAAAAAATAACTTATGACTACTGAATATGAATGATCTCAAATTCCATTAAGTTTAATGTTGAAAGCCAGTAGATAATAGAAGGTACCGAGTCACAAATAAAACAGAGGTCAAAATCCAGGAGAATTCAGTATCCTCATATTTCATTTTTCTGTCTTTCCTCCTGATTTATTTATTGTCTTCTTTCCCTCCTAGCCAATGAATCCTCCTCCTGAGAAATTTAATGGCTAGCGGCGTTGAACTGAAACTACTAACTAGCACATACGGTTAAGGAACTTATTGACAATCTAGGCCCTAGAGCAGCTGCGATTTTTCAGGAACATTCACTCGTTGGCAAAAATCAAAACCATATTTGAATTGTGCATTTCTCACACTATGGATTGCAGAACAGCGTTTTGCTGAACTCAAGCATAACTATGGACTGAGTTACTATTTCCAAAATGAAAAGTGTGCTAATCAAATCATCAACCAATCGATCAATCAATCATATGTGCCTCAAACCTAAACTAGTCGGAGTCAGCAACATGAATCCTCTATGTATTCGGCTCCATTTGGACCCATTTTATCCCAATACACAGAGGATTCAATTACTATGATATGTCTCATTATTTGACTACTTCAACGTTGATTGTCAACTTACCACAACTCTCCTCCTTTATCCGCACTTGGGACCAGTTTTGTGGAGCTCACATACAAGTCCACATACTTGTATGATTAATAAAACCAAACTAAAACAAAAGGCCTGAGCTTCAATCAACACAAAAAGCTTGTTTTTGCTAGCCTACCCCCGCTAAGAGTGGAATGCCAGTGCCATGCTTTACTTTTTTTCATTTATAATGTAGAAATCCCCGAGAACCAGTGGTGCACGGTTCAAAACTAGGCGGATAATGTGTCCACGCTTGATTAACACTAAGAATACTTGTAAGAACAGTGAAACTATGCCCTTCTAAACAGTAAGCACACAAACAAGTTAAAAACTTCATAATCTAATGTACTAAGAAAATTGCAACTTGCTCTCCACCACATTGTGTTTAACATCAGATAAATTCTCCTCTATACACCAGACAATTTAAAATTGATAACTCCAAGATATCAACAAGCTGAATCCTACTAGAATTTAGGAAGTCGAAGAACTGAAAGCTATATGATCATAGAACCAGAGAAAGGCCAAAAATGGTACTCCCCCTGTCCCAGTTTATGTGACACTATTCTGTATCTATCAATCTGTTCCTGAAAGAATAACACATTTCTATATTTGGAAACAAGTTAACTTTGAACTTCTTGTTATACCCTTAACAAGAAGTTTTAATATCCACGCAAATATTATAGCATGTTAAGACCACAAGTTTCAACAATCGCGAAAAACACTATCGGATTTCAAAGTAGCACGATCTAATTCAAAAATTTCACCCAATTGAGCACGTCTAGCATATTTTTTTCACAGTAGCAGGATCACTGTAACTGACGCCAGTGAGTTCACATTATTTTCTTCTTAAACTTCATGCTGAGTCAGATTACGTCACATAAATTGAATATGAAAAATGTAAAGACTAAACAGGAAAACTAAAAAATAATAATTACCAGCCAGTGATCCAAGAAGCAAAAGGTGCCCAACTTGGACCAGCAAGCTTAGCACTCCAATAATAAAGACCCCCAGAAGTAGGATAAGAAGAACAAATCTCAGCCATTGATAATCCAACAAACATAGTAAAAGCACCAGCAATTAGCCATCCATAAACATAAGAAATTGGCCCACCAAAATTCAAACCAGTTCCCATCAATGTGTTCAAACCAGTAAGCACTGATACAACAGAAAACGAAAACGCAAAATTCGATAACACCCTAAAAAACCAAAAAAACAAACAAACCAGTAAGTAAAAATGTCTAAAAAATCAAAAAAATCGAAAATTTTAGTATTTTGGTTAAAAATCTGAAAGTGGGTATTTACGAAAGATTGCGGTTGAGTTCTTGTTTGTATCCTAGCTCGTGAAGACGTGCATGGCCTGAATCAATTTCTGCTTTTTCCACTTCGACACCCATTGTTATTTTTTTCCACTGCAACTTTGCCTTCTTCAAATTCCTTTTAATTTTGAGAAATAATCTATAAATGGTAGCTGGATTTTCAGTTATATATAGAAAGAGCCAAAGATTTACAGTTACATAGCAAATCAGAACTGTGTAAATAATTTTTTGTTTATTTTATTTTGGAATTTTTAGTGGTTTGTTGTGAAGTGTGAAGAGGGTGGTATGGTCAAAGAACGAAAACGGAAAGTGCAATAAATATAGGGAAAGATTTGAACGTTCTTTATGTTTTTGGTGACGTAAGTTGACAGTAGAGACCCATGCTGTATTTCCAAGATAGGAAATCATCTGAATTATTGGAAGCAATGATTTTCTTTGGTAAGAATATTCTCAAATCCTAGCGGGATCTGGATAGGGTAGTGTGTACGCAGACCTTACCCCTACCTTGGGGTAGAGAGGTTGTTTCCAAATAGACCCCCGACATCCTTCCCTCCAAGAACTCCCCACCTTGCTCTTGGGATGACTCGAACTCACAATCTCTTGGTTGGAAGTGGAGGTTGCTTACCGTCAGAGCAACCCCTCTTGTCACAAGCAAACAAACAAATACACTAAATCTCACAAGTAGGGTCTGGAAAGGGTAATATGTACACAAACCTTACCCCTATGTTATGAAGGTAGAGAGGTTATTTTCGAAAAACATTCGGCTCAAGAACAGTAAAAATGAAGCAACAGAGAAATAATTGCAACGACAAGGTAATAAGACAATGAGTAATAACAGAGATCCAGGGATACGAAACTACAAAAAAAGTACCAATACTACTGAAAATAATGACACATCGTATAAAAACAAGGGACTAGGAATAGGAAAATGCGTGACTAGTACTACTACTATTACTGGTATTCGGTTATATTTTTTTTTTTTGAACCAATGGTCTATTAGAAACAGTCTCTCTATCTTCACAAGGTATAAGTAAGATTTGCGTACATACTATTCTCCCCAGACCTCACTTGTGGGATTATACTGGATATATTATTATTGTATTCGGTATCCGCATTGAGGTTTGACTAAATTTGAATTCGCGCTGAAAATCCCATATTGGGGATAACCTGGATTCGCGCCAAAAAATCTCACATTAGGGATAAAATAATTCCTAGTAAAGACGACTCAATACTCAAAGCGCGAACCTGAGATCTCTTATTAACGATGGAGGACTACTTACTGCTCCGCTACAATCTTTATTGTGATCAAATTTTATAATTATAAATTCATAATTGTTCTGAATTTACATTCTAGTCGTTGTATGCAAAACAATATAATTTACTTTGTCCTGCATTTAAGGTAATTTGTTGAATTTCCTCTACAGGATAAATTTTGTTAATCTCACTATAAATAATTTTAAGTTACTAATGATATAAAATCTAAATTGGGGGTTGTTGGCAATTGGAAAAGTCAAGAGGGACTGTATATACTGCTGCTTCTCGCTTTGCAAAATTATAGGAGTATTTTTTTCAACGGCACGAGCAAAATTGTCAGATTCAAGACAAATGGAATTTTAAAGATTCCTTCAAATCTAATTAACCTTTTTTTTTTTTTTTTCATAAAGGAGCTTTATTTTATTATTTTAATCTTTTGAGTACATCAATAAATATGACTATCAAATTAAAGAGTAAAGGCTCGTTTGGTATAAGGAACAAGGAAAATTAATTCCGGGACTAAATTTAAGAAGAGCTTATTTTATATTTGGTTGGGAGATTGTGGTATAATTAATCCCGGAATTAATTAATTCGGTATTATAGTGTTTTTTTATTTCCATAAAAATGTGAAATAACTAATCCCGGAATAATATCTTTCCAACCAAACGATCCCTAAAAGATAAACATTTTCCTCAAACCTTATCCTATACAATTACCATATATTATCAACCTTTTTATAGAGTTAAATCATATATGAAATTAGTCGAACTTTAGTTTTGGCATATACCTCGTATATGTGTAAAAAAAAATTAAATATAGAATCTAAAAGCTCAAATGGTCTTAGTCGAACTCAATAATTTTGACGTGTACNGCTACTTTCAAATCAATATTACCATCTTTCCTTGGGAATATTATGAGGCCCAAAAAAGCTATCATAAATGTCACCCGTCTGTGTTCCTCCCATTTTTGTCGGTTACTTATACTGCATAGCTTAAAATCTGGATTATTAAACCCGCCCACATGGCCATATCTATCATATATGAAGCGGAAACTGCAGAAACCCTTTGCAAAATCTGGATGATGAACTGTTCGGGGTATTTTCAAGGAATCCAAGAACCGGTGTATGGTAATAGCCCTAGGAGCAATCAAGTATTTGAACCTCAATGGAGCTTGATCACTTCCAATATACCCCGCTATTTCTTCCAATGTTGGGGTGAGCTCAAAGTCTGAGAAATGAAATACATTATGTGCCGAATCCCAATAGGCGACCAATGCCCGGATGATATCCCCCCGAGGCTGAATGTTTAATAAATCCAGAAGGTCTTTCAAATACTTTTTCACTTCGTTTTGCCCCTCTTTGCCTAAATCATTCCACCATAATTGCAGCTCAAAAGGGATTTTGGTCATTACTGAAAAGGGCTCATTTATCATCGTGCTCATCCTGCACATTTATTAAAGCGTTTAAGCAAAAAGAAAACTTTTATTCGAAAAAAAACTATCTAATACCCAGCTTATTCACGATTCTTACTTCTTTATTTATTTATTTATTTAAGATAAAAATACCCAGTATTGCAACACGGCCTTTCAACGCCTTACGAACGAAAACTTAAGGCTGTGAGGGTCGAAAAACAAAAAAATGAAAACATGACCAAAGGTGGCCATGTATGCAATGTTAGCCTTCCGACGTTCCGTTTGGGAACAAAATGGCATCACCCAATTTATTTATGACCCAAAAAATAAAATTTTTGACACATTTTTTGACTATTTTTGAAAAAGGGGAAGGTTGGACCCGATGAGGGTTGCCTACGTATCCCACACCCTATGAGAATCAAACCGGCGTAGTTCGGGCAAATTAACCGAACTATTTTAAAACAAAACTCTTTTTCATTTTCAATTTTTCAACGAACAATAAACAACCTATTTTCCAAACTAAGAATAAAAGACTCTTTTTTTCAACAAACACTTTCCAAAAATAAAAAGACTCGTCCTTTTTTTCTTTTGCTTTTAGTAAAACAGATTATTAGCAATAAAGCATTTTCCTTTCCATTTCCTCAAAATTTCGGCAGAGTTTCGACAGTATTTGGGCATTGGGTTTTTAACTCCCTAATTGTTATCTCTCTCTTCTTTTTTTCTCTTTTTTTTCTTTATCTTTTTCTCTTTTTTTTTCAAATTTCCAACATTTTCGGGATCCAAAAACCGGTCAACATGCAAGTTTGGAACAAATAAATGCACAGCACAAGAGAATGCATCAGGATGGTCTTTTCATTTCAGGCTGCTAGTCCTAGACGGGCCCAACTCCTGTGTTGAGTCCCCTAAGTCAAATGCAACGTGATGCAAATAAGTGTTCCTACTAGGGATCCGGCATGAAGTCACGTTATTCTATGTTCAAAAACCTGAGTCAGTGTTCTAGACTGTGTACCCGAGCGGAAAACTCGAGTCGAGGAGGGGGCAACTTACCGGGAACCAAAAGGCCATCCGGCTTCTTAACTTGTCCGACCTCTTTCATATTTCAAGGTATGACACTAACAGAATAGAGAGTCTCAACCAGTAAGCACATCCCCGGAGGTGAAAAGAGAAGGGTGTCAGCACAGTTTATATACAGTTCAGATAATATCAAAGCGGTAACATTTAGCA